AATTATTTTAGAACTGATTTCAACGGGGGGAAGTTTATCGTCAATATTATACTTTTCTAATGTTATGTTTTTTGCAATTTTCGAAAGGGCCGTCAGTTCGAGAAAAACATAAATGAGCCATTTGTTAGCGTATTTTTTCTATCAGAGTAAAAACTTTGTAAACGTATTTGCAAACATCATTGTTTAAAAATTGCTTGCCATTCAGGAAAAAATAACTGAAAATTGCTCGTATTTTTGAATAATTGTACCTGACCTTATTTTTAAAGGTCTGAATTACAGATTCCTTTTAGGGAAAAATTTGTACCTTCATTAAATGTAGTTGTATGGAGACGTAGAGAAAATATTGAACTTTTGCCATTTTCGAAAATTCAGAGATTTGATTGAAATGAATACCATGCCATTGGTATTAAGCGTCATTTGCGCTATCCGATGAAAAAGAATAATTAAAAAATGGAGACAATTTTTATTAAAAACTTGAAAAAGGTTGTGTAAAGTACTCCAAAAATTTAAAAACTTTTTTTAAACTCGCAGGGCCTCGACTCAATCGGGGAACGTCAAGTTTAAAGAAAATTGTATGAACGTAGTACGTACTACGTAAGTACGTAGTAAGGCGAGAAATTAAAAAAACGGTGACAATGTCAGTGGTTATCACAAGTCGTCGATTCACCAGGTGGGTTTAGTTCAGATCCACCATTGCCACTGTCTCTGCAGCGAATCAGACCGGGGGATCCAAGGGTTTGAGGGGGCGGATTTTCGGCACTAGCTAGATGGCCTGGTGGAATTCAACTGCTGACTGGAAGATAATTCTAGTGGGCGGCTGCTTTCATCAGTAGTTTCTCGTGTTTGCCGGTCTAGGCGAATTTCCGAACAATGCCGGTGAAGTACCCTACAAAAGGGGAACCGACCGCTCGCCTTCCTTGTCATATCTTCTTCCCTTACACACGCACACACACACATTTACATGCACTGCAAAACCACACGTAAAGGGAGCTTAGAACTCGTCTTGGCTGGGGTGGTTCCCCCGCGTGAAAATACCTGGAGGAGTAACCCGACATTAAGTCCAACCCCCAGCTACCTCCCAGAATGAAAACAACACACACACACACACACACACACACACACACACACACACACACACACACACACACACACACAGACTTACCATAGCAAGTACTACACTACCACACATGTTTGGAAACCCATCAGAAAATCTCTGCAGCAAATGTCATTCTTGATACCGAAATATTGATTGACGGCAAAACATGTCTCTGTGGATAACGCTAGAGCCAAACCGTTCTGCAGGTTTTCTCAGAAATTGATACTTCCCGATCGATTTTAACGAACTCAAGGCCTACAAAGTTTGAATATTTTGATTTTTGAGGGCTCTTTACATGAACCTTTAACATTTCAATTTTTTTCAAAAATTTTTTGATTAAATTTCTTTCTTGGAAAGCGTAAGGAGGTTTAAAAGAATGATGAAATTCCATTTTCGTTGATGATTGGTTGGTTGGTTGGTTGATAGTGATTCCGGGCGCGTCAACTACTATGGTCATTAGTCCCGTAAGTACAGTGCATGTTTCTAGGGTTCTTTCTTTTCTCCCGGCGTGTGTGGTAGTGTAGAGCGTGTTAGTGAAAGTGTGCGTGAGGGGTGAGGATAGGACTGGGGAGAGAGAGGAAAAATAGCGCGCGGTCCGTGGTCCGTTTGTAAGGGTACCGCTCTGCCATTTGCTGGAGAAACCACGGAAAACTAATGATCAGAGCAACCGATCTCTAGAATTCTCCTCCAGACAGCGACTGAATTCGACCTAGCTGACAAGTTAATGTCGAAAATATTACCACTGTCGGTACTCGAACCTAGAAACTCGCGGTCAGAAGCACTGCAATGAGATCACTTCGCCCGGTCATTATCGTTGAAATCCGTGATATTTCGATAATTGCAAATGCCTCCGAGAGGTTGATAAAATGGACGTTTTTAGAAACTTCAAAACCTTCTCTTTCTAATGAAATAGGTTTGAAAGAATTTCTGTTAAGTCCTTTTTTGTAAAAGAAGGGTACAAAATCACTATTTTGGACCTTTTCCCCCGAATCAGAAATTTTAAACTTAATATATGAAGTAATGATAAGAGCTAGGAGATTAAAATTATGCATTAAGAAACAATGTAGTATTGATATGTTATAAGCCAAGATTAAATATTCTTACTCAAATATTAAGTAAAATATCCTACTTTAAAATCTAGAATTTGTTTGTAATTTTTGTAATGTTTTCGGCGAATTTGATACAATATATTCACTGTATATTTAGATAGGCCAAGTTGATATTGTTTTCATTGAACGAAACGTAAAAGATTGTATGTGTAGGCTCAGTTTCATTTGTTTAACAATAACGGAGAAGGAAATATTGCAACCAAATTTGCGAAAATCATACAGTTCTACTGTACAACGACGCTGCAAGAAGTCAAACAAATAGCTATATATCCAAAACTAGTTCACCTATGATGCCAGAACTTGACAAACGTTTCTTTGAGACATATTGGTCTCGACATACACGATTTCATCAAGATAAGAGATGGTCACGTGGGCTACCAATCACCAAAATTTCACCACTCAACATGGCATGACCCTATAGTTAATAATGACAGACGTCAAATAATGTTTCGTTTCCTACTGCCCATTTTTGTATGTGGTTGATTAACACGTGATGATTCACTTTACAATGTCATGAACGTTGCTACATGGATCCTAACGAATTCGAGGAATCCTAAATCTGGTGCTTTACGTGAATGTCTCTTTTCTGAATTCTTCGTAACCTTTTGTAGCGTCTATTAATGATACTGATAATGATGCATATAAACTGCGATGGCGAAGGTTTGTTGGAGTGCCTTGCTTTAAAGTCCTGGCCGTTAACATCAAAATCGAGAATTACCCAAGGGACTACTGAACGCGTTTCCACAAAAAGATTAAATAAATTGCATCTTTCAATTTAAGAACAGGAAAAACGCAGTAAGGTGCCAGCTGAGAGTTTTGGCTATCCATGTCGAATCAAAAATTCAGAGTCCTAACAAAGAAGGTGAAATGTCAAAGAAGAGTGCAATTTGTAGAATTCGTCGACTAAATAATGTAGTGTAAGAGGAGTCGCTTGGGGTTTCGAATCAGCACAGATGTAACTTCCGGCTCATTTCGTGTTCGTATAATCAATCTATCGTAAAGTAAAAGGCGATATCAAATAATTTTTAGCGTGGTTGTAATATTATATCATGGTTGTTATATTATAACAACCATGCTAAAAATTCCCCACTTAACACTTCTCAGCCACTGATATTCTACTAGATGAGTCCGTTGTGAAACTATCACAATTAGTACTTCTCCATTTGATGATGGGATTAAAGTTTAATGTCGATTACATGGGTAAGAAAGTTAAGGAATGAAAATAAAAAGCCATATCCATGCGCCGGATATCAACGCTTTATTTCTTCTGTAAGCTGTTTATTATTTCATTTCTAGTTTACGGTTAACATTATGAATGACTTCGAACAATCCTGCAATGTCTATCTTTATTAAATCCTTCACAACATTTTGTTTAATCAATACTTTTAGTCGTTGCGTCTGTCACTACACAACAATTATCTGATTACCAAATAGGTAAAAGGACAACACAGAGAGAATGTCAAGATGATAATGATAAATGAAGATTAAAATAAGGAATTTCGTAGCAAGGTTTGAAAGCCATTGAGACGAAAATTTCATACATCAAGGAGAGTAAGTGTCAAGGCCTGATAATTGTCTCCTACTAAAACGTTTGTGGGATGGTGAAGCTAGGTACTCATTAAAACAAATTAATTTGAAATAATTATTTCTTAAGTGTATTGCAATGATCTCAATACCAGATAAATAAGTGCATATAAAAATCCGCGAGTATTTAAAAATTAGCTATTTTTCAAGTTCTTTGGATTGAGCGATTTTGCTTATATAAATTTAGTTGTTATACACATGTATTTTTGTGTGTATTAGGGAAATAACCAAGAAGAAATTGAGAGAAGAATAAGCTTGTGGAGAAACGTGACACGAAGTATAAACTGTCTTATGGAACAAAACCATCTCTAACACTACGAAAAGACGTCTTTACTCCTCACTAGTTAAGAATGTTACTACTCCGTACTAGTTCAGAAGTTTGGGAGATTGATAAAAGAACAAAAGGGAAGCTGCTGGCCCTTGAAATTGACTTCTGGCGTAGAAGTTGCTGTTATAGCGAACGTGACCGAATCAAGAACGACGACATAAGAAAGAAAATGGATGTAAAGAAATCTATCCTTGACGAAATAGAGCAAGAACAAATCGTCTGGTACGGTCATGTTATGCGAATGACAGATGTAAGAAGGCCAAAACGAGTCCTGCAATGGGTGCCGACAGAAAGAAGAGAGGAAGACCCAGACTTGCATGGCAGCAGGGAGTGCAAGAGGCTATGATGGTAAGAGAAATGCAAGATGATCTATGGTCAAATAGAGAGGCATGGAGACTGAGAGCGGAGAAACGGCGACAGCTGTAGAGCAACTCCGTTATATATAAACCTGTGGATCCAAACTCTAGTATTATTCCACATTCAAAAAGTAACATCCATTGTTTTTAATTCATTAAAAGTTAATACGTTAAGTAACAGCCATTACAAGTAATATCCATTAGAGGCGGTTCCTCTCAATAAAAAAATACAATTTAAAATTGCAAATAAATTATCAGACGCTACATTAAAATACGCATGGTTGTATAGCTCCAAATTACTACGACGTCCATTGGCGTCATGTGTGTCGACGTAAATCTAAACATTGTGGACGACAGGGGCGATAAGACCCTAGGCCGAAGGGGTGGGGGGGGCCGTCTCCTTTGCCATGCCTCTGCTCTCGCGCTCTCCCCGCCCCCTCCGCCTCTAACACGCATCGCATCCTTCGCCGCCCCCGCACCGCGACCCTGCTCGCTCCGGATCAGCACCTGGAGAGGACAGGCATAGCTCAGGGCCTCATTGGGCTGCGCAGCGAAACGTGGCAATGCTGCAGCGGCGGCGGCGGCGGCGGCGGCGGCGGCGGCGGCGGCGGCGGCGGCGGCGGCACGCGGGCGCGCTCGTCTCGCCCCGGGGCCAGGTGAGCGAGGGTGGAGCCGAAGAGAGAGCCGCGCGACGGCGGCGGCGGGCGAGAGGCAACCGTGCGTGACCCCCGGGCGTCGAGACCGGCCCAAGCCCTGCCCCAGACCCGAGCCCCGGCCGCAGCTACGGCTATGGCTACGGCGCGGCGCCGCGCCGCACCGCGTATAGCTCCGCACTGCACGACTCGGCCCCGGCCCCGGCCGCTTGCCTTAGGCATTGCCGGTTCTGCAGAAAAGAATTCTGTGAGGACGGTGCCGAGAGTGGGAGCGCGAGGGAACGAGCGCGGACGAGGAGGAGGGTGAGAAGCGAGCGAGCGCGCGGGAGAGAGAGAAAGAAAGACAGACAGACAGAGAGAGAGAGAGAGAGAGACAGAGACAGAAAGAGAGGGGAAGGGGGTTGTGACCTATTGATCCTCGCCTGGGGCTAAACGTGATGGAGGCTGTGTATATATATGAGAAGAGAGGGGGAGAGACAAAAGAGTCCCGCGTTCTATTCCCGAGGGCCCATCTGCATAGATAATGATGTTTCCCAGCGAGAGATCCCGCGCTATACATACACTTGAACGCCCCGCAATCTATATCACTAGCAGAAAGACACGCACCAAGTTCGCAAACTCCAATTACGTCCATATATCATTTTCAAAAATCGTTAAAATTGCCCTGGTAAAGTGCAGTGGCTGCCTTCTCTTAGCTCTTTCGGAGCTGATCGGTTTGTCTTTTCCTTGACAAACGCTCGCTAATGACTTCAAGCTCGCCCTTCCTTTGGCGTTGGGGCAGCGAGGGCATGATAACAGCGGAATCGTCGCCAGTAGTTTGTATTCTCCCGAGGAAATTTATTTTGCAGCGGGCGCTTTCTGCCTGGTGGAGGAGGGTCTGTGGCGCGTGGGCGGCGCGGCGCCTCATGAGGACTACGACCGTGGCGCCCTCGGCCCCCGCAGCAGTGGCGGATCCAAGGGGAGGGCCGTCACGATGGCCCTGTCACTTCCCCTCAAAACCAACATTTCTTGTGATTTTACCATAGGCAGGCCCTGGAGGCCGTGATCACCCCGAAAATTTTGAAAGGGTCCCCATAGCCTTACATGTATGTTTTCATAAGAGAATAACATGTTATTTATAAATAACATATTATATTACGGAAACATTTTATTCCCGTTAAAACATTTAATCCCTTATATTACCCTTTTTTAACCGGACAATTTAGGGGAATTGTTCTGTATTTGGAGAAGAGACTCTGCAAGCCGTCTGGCAACCCGGTTTCAACTAAAATTTTATTTTATTTGTTCATTGCATCATTATAGTTATTTCATTCTGCTCGTATGTTTTATTTGTTTGCAAGTAAAATCTGTCGTAGTCAAATAAAAAGTTTAAAGCAAAGGAGGCCGCGGAATTACTAGGTCTCTCCTCTTGTTTTGAGCTGCGGACGCCTACGGATTTTACTCAATGTTTCAAGCAAGAATAAAAAGAAATATTTCAAAAATAATTAGGAGAAATTTGCTCCCATCTGAAAATACTTCTGGATTCGCCCCTGCCCCGTAGAGTAGTGATGTGAAGGTAGAGTGAAACCTGCCGAATCTGTTACCTCTTCCATGTTTTCGTGGAACCAACTTATTTATCCACAAGGCACGTGCATACCCCTTCTTTTGTAAGTGGTCACCTGGCTTTGTTAGAGCGTCCAGGCACACTTCATATGTTCACATCCATTAGACGGTCAGAAAATCACGAACGTTTTGCAATTTTGAACAGTTGTACAATAAAAACATAAGGGTATTGAAGATTATTGATTTAGTATCTTTCTGCAACTTGGCGTATTATCAGATTATGTGGAATAAAAATATTTAGAGACTCTAACTCGTGGAAGGATTACTTAGTAGTTTCAGATAACACTAGATGATTTTCATGCATTCTTTGAAGTTCATTTAGGATGTGAATAGCAATTCTAAGACTACAGATAGAATGATTTTGTATGGTTTACATGCGAACGTGCAAATAAGCTTCCTGTTTTATGTAGATATAGGGTAAATTAAAAGTGCGAATTATAAATATGTTAATAAATAGGTGTGTACATAAATATACTTTGGCAGTAGGGATTGGAAGTGAACAATTAACAAATTTAAACAATTGCAGAAAATAATAAATCTTTCTTGAAAAACTAAAAAATACAGACTATTAGCTTGCGTTGCAGTGTAGCAAATACCTTGAGTTTAGGTATACTATTTATTATAAAGGTATTCTCTACAATATCGCCTTACTGCTAGTGTTTAACGAGGGTAAGAGGTAGGGTCTCATACAAAGAGAAATAGGGTAAAGTTCTAATCCCAAGTTTCAAGTTTGTTTTACTAACAGGATTTTTCAGTAGCAGAGGTTTCGTACATCTTATTAAATATTCAAAACGGTTATATAGTACACAAATGTTTTCAATGGTATTTGCTCAATGGATTTTTCTCAGTACTCAGAAGTCACTTAATTATAATTAAAGAGTGAATGGAATTTATTCCAGTATAAATCATAAAGGAAAGATTGAAATGATTTCAAGGCAGAATGGTATGCGTAGCAAATCCAGTGACAGAGGCCAATGTTAGACAAAGGGATCTGGTACTGGTCAAACAATAGAGGTGAACTAATAAAGACGAATATAATATGATGCAACGGCCTACGATATTTTCGGCTATACAATTATACATTGCATTACATAATGCATACTTTCTAAAACAATAAAATTCTTAATGCAGCGATCCTTTATACAGTTGTAATTTCACACCCAATGGAAGAGATATAAGATCTATCAATTTCCAACATGCATGTTGAAATAAAACATACTATTACCTATTCATTTAAAAATGTAAATATTCTAGTCCAAATGTACGGAGGGGGACTTGAAATTGTATCTTTATAGGCAGGTATAAAATATGTCGTTCTCGCTACAACAGACGAAACAGTGCAGAAAAATATTTTTCCAAGTTCGTGAACTTCTTATTGATCAGCCTTTGTTTATTTATATAAAATGAACATCAAATGTATCAAATTAGGTGTAGGTCAGATTAACCTAATATTTCAAAAGTTAAGATCTCAGTCCAATAATCTGTTCAAGTTCATCGAAAGGGAACAAGCTTTAAGCTAGTCTAGGCCAAAGACATGGCTTTAGCAGTACTTTACGTTTTCACCAGGCAGTAAATATCTCATTTTAAAGCTCCGCACACCCATAGCTGTTTACATACCAAGTTTTGACATCACGTAAAAGGAAACGGGTCGTTTTGGAAGATGCCTCGGTCCATTGAATATTTTTAAAGCGGGTCAGGGTTCTGCTGCAGAGATGCGGGCAGACAGGCCAGGAAGGAGACTTGGGCTGTTGATGACGCAGCATAGCCGGTCGACGCACAATGGAATGTGACGAATATAGTGCCGGTGCCCTCGAGTTGTGTGTTGGAGCAATATAATTTAAAGTTACATAAACACTTCAGATAATGGGGGGAAAGCCGAGGTCGGTATGGCTGAAGAGACATGGCTAACTCGGCTTGAAGGGTCACGGGTTCAAATACCGCCCCTGCCATGGATGTTTGTGTGTGTTCATGTTGTCCTTATGTTACCCAATGTTAAAAGTTACAGTGGTCGCTATAGGACCGAGCAGTTTGAAAACGACCTTAAATAAATTAATTTAAAGAAATGTGTGATAGTGGCTGTTTTGGCCACCACTAGTGACTTTTTTCTGGGATTCCCCATTCAAGAGATCTGAATTGCTCAGAGAATCATGGACACTTTCTTTCAACCACCAGATCGCTCCTTCAATTTAAATGTTCGTTTAGATTCGCTGTCGTGAACGCGTTCGATATTATCAGTGAGAACTCGTGTTCCAATGAAGAGAGGATGGGAAGAGGTACGAAGTGAAGTGGGGAAGAGGGCGGGGACATGGGAAGGTCGGGGGCCAGCGGAGGCTGGAGCGTCTGGTGGGTGAGGCATGGGAAAATGCGTGGGGGTTGAGAGGACTGAGATGTGGCCAGGATAGTTCTAATAAAGAGAGAATGTGGAGAGGCACGAAGTGAAGTGGGGAAGATGTGGGTAACATGGGAAGGATGCGGACCAGAGGAGCCGATGGAGGTTGGGGCGTCGGGGTGGCGGTGGGGCAGGGGGAAAGACGAGGAAGCGGAGAGGACGCCGGTATGGACAGCACTGACGTGTGAAGAGGGTGGGGGCGAGAGCATGCGTGGCAAAAGCGCGGGGGAGGGAGGCCGGATGAGGGTGAGCGGTGGTGGCGGGGCGGGGGCAGGGCGGGGGTGGGGCAGATGGCCGGCGCTTCTCCGAGGCGCTGCCGCCGCCGGCAGTCGTGCTGCCCCGCGGGCGCCGCTCCTCGCCCCACCCGCCCCGCCCCACCCCGCCCCGCCCCGCCTCGTCTCGTCTCGTCTGGTCTCGTCTCGTCTCATCTCGCGGGCTTAAGAGATGCCCGCGCCGTAAAGCTGACCTTGTGCGATACACTTGGCTCGACGCTGGAAGGCAGCCTGTGGTCACTACAAAGGCCCTTGTTCAGACTGCGCGCTCCCCTCGGCTCCATCAACTCCGTAGAGATCGACGCCAATGAGGACGCGAGATATGTCAGTTCGTTTGCGGCAACAAGTAAAAATAGTAAGTCGATCTAAAAACTATGTTTATACAAACGAGCAGTAAAGCTCTGAAAAAGGCCACAGCAAGAAGGCCGAAAATTCAGTACAATTGACTGAGACGCGGCTCATCCCGGAAAGCCAAGAATGCATTTATACAAACGTGAACCAAAATAAAGGATTACCTGCTGTCAATTGTGACAAAATAGGGACAAATTTCGGGTAAGTCAAGACACCGAGACACTATGAAAATAATGATAGAGCATAAAATAATTTACTTATTTGCAAATTTTTGTACTAGATTTAAAGTGTAACATTTTGGTTATAGTACTAGTTAGTTTTGTTAGTATTATAAGTGGTCATGCTAGTTAAGTTAGGGGCTTGTATCAGGTCGAGATGCTTAACTTTAGAGACATTGTAAATATTTTAATGAAACACTTATAATAGATAAATGTAATCAAAAAGAATGAAACCTACTGAGTATATCTTTCTGTCGAAGTCACAGGTATCTACGTGAGATGAATCCTTTATTGGTAGTGTTATAGTGTTTATTTTTATTTCTGTATTTATATCTGGAAAACGTCAGACATATGCATCGATCAGTCATGCGACCCCTACCGATACGAATGGTGTTCAATTGAGTTGACGCTTGCTATAAGAAGGGGGTAGCATTCGAGCTTCCGCGTAGTGAACAGTAATTTTGGGATGACTCGAAGGAAAATGTCCGATCTAACTTTTTGTTTTCGGATATCTATCCATCTGCCCAAGATGATGTTGAAATGTATCATTATTTTGTACGCAAGTGAAGGAGGAAGTCAGTGCCCAGTCCATAATGGTTACCTGTGAAAGTAACGTTGTCACCATGATTTTTATACTTAAAAATATTTATAGATTGATATTTTGTTAGTATTTTGATTGACTGTTGACATTTGATTATTATTTTGTTTTTCCGTCATCGTCAGCTGCTAAGGTCATTAGTCTCGTAAGTGCGGTGGATGTTTTATCCCGAGAGGTGGCGGTGTTCCTCGCTGAAGTGTGAGATGCGACGCCGACGTACCCGCCGGCTTGGGGGGGGGGGTTCTTTCCAGTTACTCTTATCTCTACCAGCATAGGGTTACCATACGTTCTCTTTTCCCTGGACACATCCTCTTTTTGATGTAAGAGAAACTGTACGGGTGGATTTTACAAGAAAGGACGAAATGTCCTTTTTTTTATTGGAAGGGGGCATTACTTTTAAATGCAACCTAGAAGTTTAATGTGCGAAGGATACTGCGCTATTTTTAACTTATGCGTGTAACCGACATCATATTTAAATAAATAAATGTTGTTGTATAAATAAATGACATTTAACTTCAACTATCTTGCTTAACAACAGCCAGAATCCATAGAAAAACTATACTCCTTCAAATGTTCTTTACACCATGAAATGCAACAGTGCTGTTAATAACTGTGGTTCTTATATTTCGAGCGTGATTCCAAAAAGAAAAGGCAATTTTAATAACATATTTAAAGAAAAGTTCAAAGTGTTTGTTGCAAGGTTCAGAGCAAAGTTCTAATTGTTGAGGAAGATTTTATCATCAGCCAATTACGTCTGGTATAAAAGTGGAAAATATCGTAATGATAATGAAGCAGACCTTTTGTGTGATTGCGAAAGGTAAGACAATGATTGAAATATTTATTTTGTTAGTAGTAGGCATTTTGTCTTTAAGAAAATACATTATTATATTAAAATATTTTATATGAAGTATCCTTTTTTTATAAGAAATGTCCTCTTTTTCCATAATGGAAATATGGTAATCCTACACCAGCGGGGCACGGCCCGTGCCGGAACAAGCTCTAAGCTATGACTGGTCTCCCGGCAAGTGTGATAATGTAGTGCATGCATGTGTGTGTATGAGAGAAGGGGAGGAAACAAGAATGAGTATGAGTAAGGAAATATCGTTCGCGGTTTCAGGCACACCTGATAAGGTACTCCTCCGGCATTCGCTTGATACTGGTA